CCCCCCCCCCCCCCCCCCCTCTCTACGCGCCATGTGTTTCTTTGTTTGCCGGCTTTTCCCCGACAACGAACGAGCACAGCGTCCGGGCAACGACGTGTTCTACCGACTGGGGGTCAGGACGTACATGGAGCTTCCGGAGTTGCTAAAGACGTTCGACTTGGAGGTCCCGCAGGTGCGTGTGTCGCATTGCTTCGTGGGCAGTAGTACACACGGCGTTGGTAAGACATCCCTCGAAGTGTCGCAGTGCTTATTCGGCAGTAATTTACAAGGGTTTGGTGAGATATTCTTCAACACCAGCATAGTTGGAGCATGCAAAATACCAAATATTCCATCCCGAGTCGGTTCAGCTCGAAGGTACCATACGAGAGCGGTGAAAGTTGCTCATGTTCTGTGAGTTTTTTTCGAGAGATCTCCGCTCTCTCTGCCGGAGTTCGGCTCAACGGTATCGATTGACCGAGGTGTGTAGTCGTTGTTGGTGCTCTCTCGATGATCGGTTGCATTTCGTATTTGTGAAACCTTCTTTCCTGGTCGCAGTTTCATGTCCCGCCGCGTTACCCTTTTGCCTCCCTGACCGGCAACTTATAGGTCATCCACCACTGAAGGATGCGCTCTGTGCACTCCACCCGTACACCACGCGGTCTGGATGATAGCCCGGCCAACCCAGGCGCACAACTTCATGGAATGTTTTCAACCCAGGAGCACCAGTTCATGGGATTGATTCAAAGCATCGCTTATGGGTTGTGTGTGGCATTTGATTCCACGGTGCCCCTATTGTTGAACTAGTGTGTTCTGAGGTTTTGCGTGAGACGCGCATCGTCAATGGCACCGTCCGTGTTGACAGGGGTCCGGCACCTCCAGGGCCTTGTGTTGCCTTTTACAAGTAAATTTCGTTGATCACGAGTCGCCCGACAAGACAATTACCCACTTTTGCTGTCCCTGTTTTGTCCGGGCGCTTGGTTTTGTCGCGAACGTCTTGTGCAGCCTATTAGTGGGGTTGGTTTTGTTAGAGTGACTATCGCGTAACCCAGCAACAGCGAATCGCCAAATAAGTACCCCAGCAAAACATGAGCTGGTGATGGAAAATTATTGTTTAGAGGCCTGTCCAAACCTTGGGGGGGGTTCACGATGGGCGCGGCACGCGCCTGTGGTTTTGTCGGCGTCGGGGGAAGCAACACAGAGTTCACAGTTAGTTGTGTTGGCGTTGAAAAGTACAAAAAAACGTACAATGAGGTCGAAAAGCATCAAGTTTATTGGCAATGGGCATGCAGATTATATTGTTCATTCCCTTGTCGCTCAGCTGTGTGCGTTATTTGGCGTCGGAGAGAATGCGGCACCTATTCCTTCAGAAGGAAGTGCACGATACGAGAGTATTATTATTTCTTTGTGCGACGGGCATGATCAAGGTTGGGAGTAGACTCGTTTCACGTGCTCAGTTTGTTAAGATGTACAGCATTTTAAGGACCCCGGTTGTACTTTTGTTAAGATGTACGGCATATCCACTGTGCTACAAGTCAGCCGCTGACTTGTAGCACAGTGGATATGCCGTACATCTTAACACAGTTCTTGTCGCGGGATATTTGGAAGCGGGCAAAGGGTGCAAGCTGTCCCAAGTGGTGTTTTCCCCAAGTAGTGTTGTCTCTGCTGCGTGTTTCGTGCTGCTCGAGATGATCATACCCACCGAGATGGAGCCGTGCACGGGCAGCATGCAGGACTGGCACACTCCTTCTAGCACCGGCTCTCCCGAGCCGTCAACCAGGGGCGTGTTCCATTAGAGGGGAATGGAATGCTACCCGTGAATGTGCAGGTAAGTGTTGCACTTGACAAGGGCGCTACGATCTTGGGAGGAACTCTTGATTACAGTCAATGTCGGTCAGATGGCCGACATGAAGGGTTGCTCCGACGCGAAGGACACTGGGGGCTTGGTCTTCAGCAGTTGAGGGGGCAACAGTATGCATACAACATAATAAATCCCACCGCAAAGCACGAAACATTTTGTCGAGTGGAAACCGAACACTGCTTTCTCTGTTCGTGCAGGCTTCCTTCGAAAACAACACTTGATGATACCCAGACTACAGCTGCATCTCGCCCTACAAGACTCGAAACGACCCAGGGTATCTCCGAGTGTTATGTTGCTGGATTACATGGCCATCACGGTACCCATCATGAAGCCGAAAAGGTTCAGGTTCTGCCACGGCCGGTGGGGTAAGAAATACTTCTACTTATTATAAGCCCGGCCTTTGGGGTAGCGGACTTGATGTTGTACGGGCACCGTGGTAGGATTGTGCGGTTGATGCACACGCACACGGGCAGCAGCTGGGGAAGGGAACAGAAAGGGGACGAACGTATTACTGGATTATACCATCCGTCCGCACAGACAGCCGCGGACAGCCCACGGCGTGACGTGGAAACTTGCTACCATCCGTCCGTCGTCGGTTCGCCGCCGAGCGTACAGTCCCGCCGGCACTGCCTCCGAAAGCATGTTCAACTCCGGAAAATCGTCGGCGGTAGTTCGGTAGTTCAGCCGCCAGTTTCTGCAACCAAAGCTACCTCCTCTTCGCGCGGAGCGGCTCGCAGCTGCGCTTGGTTTCCCTGCACTCCTGTTCGTTAGAGCCCTCGCCTTTGAGCACAACCATGGCCCGCTCAGTCACGAAGCCACAACTGGCGGCCCAATTGCTTGCGTACATCCGGCAGCGAAATGAGGCAGGCGTGGAGAGAACCCTCGCCGCAGGGGCAAGCGTGGATGGCTCCAGCGAGCTAGACTGGCGACCGATAATCGCTGCTGCTGCGTCTGGCAGTGTGGGGATGGCCGACTTGCTCATCAAGAGGCAAGCCAACGTCGACTTGGGCTCTCTGAACGACTTGCGATGTTCGGACGGGCTCGAGGTGCTGGGCAAGGGGGTAAGGGCGTTGCATGTCGCCATCAACCACTACCACGTTGACGTCTTCCGGTTGCTGCTCAAGGCCGGCGCCGACCCGGACTCAGCGAACGGGAAGGGCCTCACCCCGCTGATGCTGACGTGCATCCTAGAGGACTCCGCGCGCGGGGAGCAGCGGGCGGTCATGGCCCGCGAGCTGCTGGAGGCAGGCGCGGACCCGGCGCTGGCGGACTTTCAAGGCAAGACCGCGCTCGGGTTTGCGGCGGCGCGGGACCAAACAGACCTCATCGACATCCTCTTGCAAAAGGCGCCGACGACGCTGAACCGCGCGACGCCGGACGGCCTGACGCCGCTCTACGCCGCGGCCATGAGCGGCAAGGGCAAGGCGGTGTCCCACCTCCTCTCGGCGGGGGCGAGGCAGCCGCCGGCCTCGGCGGAGAAGGACATGTGCCCCCTCGTGGCCGCCGTGCGGGAGAACCACCAGGAGGTGGTGCGAGTCCTGCTCACGGACAGGGGGATGGAGGCGATCGACGGGCCGGACGTGATCCCCCGGGCGGTCGGCGCGGCGGCGTCCGCGCGGAAGGGGAGGGCGAGCATCGTGCGGATGCTGCTCTCCGCCGAGGGGCACGAGCGGGAGGGGCACTGGGCCCGGTGCCGCTACAAGGAGGACCCCGTGCTCCACTGCGCGGTGTCCTTCGGGAACATCTCGGCGACGCGCGTGCTCCTCGCGGCGGGGGCGGACGAGACCGCGGAGAACGAGGACGGCCGCCCGGCGAGGGAGGTGGTCGGGTTCAACGCGCCCAGCCTCCAGAGGGACCCCGCCAAGAAAGGGGCGATCGTGCGCATGCTGGCGAGGGGCCCAGCGTACCGGGCGCGGTCGTGGGCGTGGCCGGCTACGGCTAGAGCCTACACTGCCGGCCACACGTGTGCTGCTGCTGCGACGACGGCTGCCCCCGGTGCCTGCGGCGCGGCGGCTGCCTCCTCCGATTATGTCCGTGGTTCCAGTTTCGTGGGGGGCTCCGGGGATGCTTGTGCCGTCGCGCCCCCGCGGGGGGGCGACGCGGGAGATGCCTGTGCTGTCCGTGAGGCCGACGGCGCTCGCGCTAATGGGGATACTTGCGGTGGCCGGGCCAGTGTTGATAACGGCACGGACCTTCCCGCCGCCCATGGAAGTGGGTCGAGTGCTCCTCTGGGAGTTCGAATCTATAGACCAAAGAGCCGCAACGCGTTCTTGGTTCCCTGGTTGGTTGCAAGGTGAGGAAGGATAGTCGTACCGATTCGTTCTGCCGCTGCTGGGTCGGGGTCTCTCGTGCATGCATGATTGCATCCCCCACTGTTGTCTACCCAGCGATCTTTCCACACCTTGAAGACATTATTTTTGGGTTGGCACGTAATTTACAATTTATGCAACACTATGCATAGAACCTGCACATTTTCCTATTTGGTGTGTGTTGTCTTTCTGCATGATCCCCCCAAGCCGCTCAAGCCAAGTTTCCAATATGCTCACAGTAGTGCGCCAACAACAGCTGTTGCGCATTGTCCTCTTTGAGTTTATCCTCCACCGAACAAACGTCAATATATTGCCCCCCACCTACGTCACTTGACGCAGAGCAGTGGAAGGTGCTGCCGATGCGCTCAGCCTTGTGTTAACTGGGGACCATTTTTTCAAGCATAGAGAACAGATGTTCTGCTTGTAGCATCCAGTCTTGGGTTTGTTGTTGTCTTTTGCGCGCGCGCCGGGTGGGGGGGGCGGGAGGGGGGTACGTGTACGCCGGGGGTATTCGAGTCGCTCCCCTTGCAACAGCAACAATGCGCAAGGACTTGGTTGCAGTCTGTCAACACTACCAGGCTTGCTGGTCCGGTGGTGTCGGTGCCTCTCGCGCTTCGCAGTGGCCGTTTATGGCCCCAGACGAACGTGGGCTTGGTCTGATGGAATTGTTGATGGGTTGGGCGGTTCGGGTAGCAGCAGGTTGCCATTGGTAGCGGCTCAGCTACGCCAGCACAAGTGAGAAGCCGCAGATTTGTCATGGTGTTGTCGCCGCTGGCGGTGCTAAAAGAGCCAAGTACGGCTTCCTGGCTTCCCACTACTTTTTGTTTGGTAGAACCGCGCTCAGTCTTACAACGTATGGGGATGACGTCCCTGATGTTGTCACGCTTGCCTTGCTCTTGCAGCCTTTGTATTTTTGGTAATCTGTGTTCGGCCAAAAACTTGCTGGGATGCTGTCCCTGACGTTAGCTCGCCTGTAGAAGTCTTGGAAAGTCGTAGCGTTTTTGTGCAGGACACAGAGCGCTGCTCGGATCGCGTTTATTGTTTTGCTGCTCTTGGGCCTGGCTTGACACCTTGGCCCACCGTTCGCACATGATTTCAAGCGCCTGCGCCGCAAACGTCGCCCCGCTTCGACGTCCCCGAACGATAATCGCTCTCGGTTATGGTATGGTCTCTGCCACGTACCGCAATTCGTTTGGCGCTTTCCTCCTTTTGCTGATGCTACTGCTGTTTGGCACACCTATGTGACTTTTGTTGGTACTTCGTTCTTCTGGCAGTCTGCGCAAACGTCTACGCTCATCTTCTTTTTAACCCATACCCTATGGTGTAACCATTGGTAAGTCTGGCTATGTACGTGCGCTCCCCGCTAACCAACACAAACGGTCGCTCGCTCCGATTTTTTTATGTCCCTTTCCTGGCGTTTTCTTCTCTACCTGCCTGCCAACGTCTCATTCGCTGGCCTTGTGCCAGGTACGCCGACTTGGGCGCAGTGGCTCGTGTCGAGGCCACAGGGATGGTGGTGCTGAGATGAGGATTTTGTGTTGTTGCCACTTCATGCGGGTATATAGCGTGCTTTGAGCTCTCCGGTGCGCCGGCGTGCATGCGATGGGGAACCGAGGGCGTCTCCTGTTGCCGCCACTCCATGTGGGAGTGCGGCTTGCTTGGAGCTGTCTGGAGCGCCAGGATGCATGCGATGGGGAATGGGAAGCATCTCCAACGACGGCGGGCGTCCGTTTGGCGCGCCTGAGGTTGGTTGGTTGGGATACGGTCGGACACAGCGTTGGCATTGGTCTGATTGCTCCCAGCAAGGCGAATGGGGTGCGTTACAAAGAAATCTGGCTGAACCGTTCATCGTTTTCCTTCTTCAGGATTTTTTTTCGGTAAATAGAAAGCAAACATAACCCCACAGAAAGACTTCCCGTTTGAGATGTGGTTTTCACTTATACCCCAAGTTCACGCGGTTACACTTATGTCATTTGGTGTGCTTGATCATTTACATATGGCCTTCTTAGTTATTCCCTTACCCCGAGTTCACACAAGAACGGATGTCGTTTGTGTACGTGATCATTACGAATGGACTGCTTGCTTGGTTTTGGTCCTGGATTTGGATTCTTTGATGGGGAGGGAGGGCAATATTTAGGAATGTGCGCTTCCGTAACACCAAACCGCAGAATTTCACAGAGGTTGGCACTAAGGAAGAACGGGGGGGAAGTGTCAGTAGAGTGCTTCCAAGAACAGAGGAAGCCGCGTTGCCGCGCCCTGTAGAGGGCCGTTGACCGTCTTTAGCACACGGTGATGACGCCGAAATACCGTTCTTCGGCATCGTCCCGTGGGTTCATGGATGCAACGTGCCCGGGGTGTGATTCAGCCCTAACCCTATGCCTAAGCCTAAGCCTAAGCCAACAGTGTGGTTCTGTCGGTCGCAACCGGGGGCCTCGGCGCCGCCGCCGTTCCCCGTTGAAACTGTTTCTTGTATTTGAAGGCTTGGTTGGCGAGGACTTGAGACTGTAGCCGGTGTTTTTGGCTTTTTTCAAGGATGCCACGAAAAGTCGTTCGAGACGTTTCTCGAGGAAGATTGCATGTGCCGCTGAAATCGGGTCTGGTAGCGATCCCCCCCGGCGCGCGTCCGCGCGCGGTTCCCCTTTGTTGTGCGTGTTCGTATCGTCGGTATTGGTTGGTTGTTCTCGGTAATGATGTCAAATTCGATTACCCGGAAAGCGTACGCCTCATCGTCCGTCCTGCTTGGCTTGTGTGTGTACCGGCCGTAGTCGCGTTCCGTGCCTGTTCCATGGAGTTGTTTAGCGGTTTCACGGGTTTTCCCTTTGCTCGTTTCTTGCTGTGTTTTGATGTATTCTTCATGGCCGACCGGTGATTGTTCTCATTTTCGATGTCGTCAATTCACACCAGCACAGCACAGCAAAGTTTTTTCCAATTATTTTCCCTGAACGTACATTACATCCCTAGAGGGGGTGATTGAGATAGAAAGGATGATTGGAAGATTAGTTTTTTTCGTGCGTTTTCATTTGAGGGGGGGGGGGTCTGAAGATTGCCAATTCAGAGCCCCCCTCCACTTTGAACCTTTGGTGCAGTGGTTCGACGATTATGCTCGGTGGGGGATGAACGGCGTTTTTCGTGACATGTTGACGAATTGCCTTTTACGGAACCACAGTGTTTATTCACGTTCGTTTGGTGTTCCGGTGTATAATATAGATCGTGCGTCTCGCATTGCTGTTAGTTTAATGTGGTGTAACCTGTCGACCGTAGATAGATGTCGTTGACGTGATGGCTTGAACAAACGACGAGGCTAGCTTGATGATGCGGTGTGCTTGGATGTGGTGAGCAAGTGGTTCGTTGAGTGCGTGCCAGAGCAAGTAACATGTGATGACGGTGGGGATTTCAAGACGGCGACCATGCATCGTGTTGTCGCGATTACGTAATACGTAATGAGAATTTTGTAGAGCACCCTAGTTAAGGTAGGTCGTAGCCGGAAGCCATCCCCGCTCACCACCCCCGCCATGTGGCGTTTAGGGAGGTCCCCCCCCGGACGTATCTCGTGGTGGCGGTACATAGCAATGTCTCGGGCACGTTCGACATTGCGTGAGACAGGCGTTCCGCCATCAGCGGAGAGGCTCTCTTTTTTTCTTCTTCTGGTGGGTGCAGCAACACCGAAAATTAGTCAGGTTTTGAGGTGCGCTGTTTTTTTATGTCTGCCTCGTCCAAATCGAATTTCAACTTTTGCTGCTTCCCCCTTACTCCCCGCAGAATTTTTTTTTGTTGCAAGCAAAGGATAAATTCCAAGAATGTTCGAAAGGCTGCTGCGTACTGATCGTTCACCACGAAAACGCGTGTTTTTTTTTTTGTTCGTTGTGGTTTTCGCTGGGCTATTCGAGTCAACAACGGGTGAGCTATAGAAACCGTCATACCGCAGCTGGCAGTCAGCTGTGAGTTTTGGCCCTGCTACCTATTATTTCATGTTGCATTTCACCCCTTGATGACACTGCTGTCGTGCCCCCATTAGCCCATGCTCCGGAAGGGTCACTTGTGTACGTACTACTTGTACGTCGTACACACCTTTTTTCCATGAATCAAGAATGACACATATGTAGACGTATTTCTACCAAGCCTCAGGGTCACTCGTCACCACCCGCCCACGATGATTTTGTTGGGATCTTTTTGTTGTCACAGCGCACGCTTTACTACCGAGTACTGGTAGATCAATTCGAACAGGTGAGGGTACTTGCGCAGAGAAATTGGAACGGCTTTTAGTGTGAAGACAACACCTACTCAAGTATAAAGTGTTTCACAACGGACGGTGCGTTTCACAACATTGGTGCAACTGCTGTGTGTGACACAAACAGACAGACAGGTCTTCGACGATCTGGAAGAGAAAGAAAAACATACTACATTATTCTATGGCTGTAGCTCGGCGGCGTGTGTAACGACACCTGGCGTTCCAATCAGTCCGTTTCACTCAGACGCCCATCACTCTGTTGTACAATATCGACCCACACGATGAGCCCTGAAAATATACATAGGCGGCGTACAATGCAAGCATAACGCCCAGCGCGGCGGGAAGCACGATATCACCAGATCTTGTTCGAGATCCAAGGAGATCTCGGAAGGGGCTACGCAGATGGATGGGTATTATTGGGAGTAGTCGGCAGTGCGGCCAAGCAGCGAAGACACTACCCATGTGCGTCATGCGCCAGTGCTGCGCACAGGATATATGGAGGCGTTTGTCGAAACACCTTTGGGGCTGCTGTGCGTTCCGGCAACGACACACCACACCAAACTAAGACCCTGACACCGTAGAGCTAGTTATTTACTGTCTTCTGACCCTTGTTTGGTCGAGTTTCATGGCCTGTGGCCCGCGAACGTGACAAAAGAAGAATTCGAAGTTCGGAGGCAAATACCTGGCACTTTTGGATGCGGCCCAACCTACCCCTGGCCGAGGGCGTGTTTCGTCCGACGACGAGAACGCAGCGCAGACCGCACAGATCCACATGAAACTTGGCACACAAACTGGAAATGCCCGTATCAGACCGTACGTCAAGTGGTGTGTTGGAATTCCACCAAACGCAGTCGGGGGCGGCGTGTTTCGTGTAAAAATGACGCTCGCGCGCAAGCATCATGCTAAGTTTCCTCAGGATGGTTGCGGAAGGGCGCACCCGTGTGTGAAAGAAGATGCTGTGGGCTTTGCCCAGTACTTTGAATTTTGCTGCAACACGCCGTATACGCCGAGAACGCCTAATCGGCGCGAACCCAGTTTTGAACTTTGGGTTTCGCCGACGCACACCGGCTCTCTCTCCCCTCCAGCACATGAAGAAACAAAAAAAAGAAAAAAGCGCTTCACCCAGCGAAGCCAGTGTCGCAGCGGTAGCTGGGAGTCGGCGCAATCGGAACCTAGGCCCTGCGAAGGTTGAACTGCACCCGCGGGCGCGATTGATATGCGTATACTTGGGCAGTCTGCACCAGTTTAGTCAATCAGCAGCGCACATTAAAATTAGATACATTTACACACGGAGTAAACTACTACATACAGCACCACGTCAACCAGCTAAGGTACCTCGCGTGCCAGTTTTACTCCTTCGGGCCAACAATACTTTCTCAATTACTCGAACAACACGCTAAGGCACAAGACACGACGAAACTCTAAAAGACACTACTTGCAAGACTGCCAAAATGTCGCTAAGATGAATAAATCTTAAAATTTTAATGATGATGCTAATGAGTATATTCTAGGGACGGCACGCAAGTAAGTCCCAAATGGTTCGAAGAACACATAACAAATCGTAAATCACAAGAAGAGACATGTCCAGTCAAAGTTATGGGAAAGTGCCAACCACAACAAAGAAAAAAATACAAGACTATAAATCAAGTTCAACAGTACATGTTCACAACAACTTCTCCTCCTCCCCAACGGCCAGTCCCTGCTGTCGTCCCAGCACCACACTCCCCCCCCCGACCGTTCCCTTGACTTATCAGCCAGCATCCCATTCCGCCTCTCGCAGCGGAACGTTCAAGTGTATGGATTAGCCTGGG